AAGAAAAAATATAAAAAATAAATTTGTAATCGAGCCGAAAATTTTGGTTTTTTAACAAAAAAAACTGAATCTCAATTCGGTTCGATTTCGATTTTAAATTTGGATAATTTGATTAATAAAAAACCAGAAAAAAAAATCGGATGATCAATACTAAATGGCGTGACAAAACTGTATATGCTTTTTCAATGTTTTTTAATCTATGCTGGACTTGTGTGGAGTGGTGAGTGATTACGCTACGATAATTAATTTCCATGTCCATGTTAGGAAGTCTGCTTTATTCGAAACAACCTTAAAACATTCATAGACTGGGGAGTGGCGGGAGGTCAGTTAACAGTCATACATTGAAATTCAATGTGCCAAATACGTAGAAAAGTGTTATGCTGATGCTGTAGAATAAGTGTTAGAACTGGTAATTGCACCTTCAAATTACAAAATTCATTTTGAGGCAGAGATATCATGTTATTTATTTATTTATTTTTGTATGGAAGACAGTTAATGTTATTTTCTAGCCTCGGATACTCATGAGTATAGCGCAAGATTACATCCTGCTGATGCAATGGATAAATAGTCCAATTTGATGTGCCGAAATTTTCTGCATATGGATGATTGATGTATAGATCTGCCATTTACCCCCAAAAAAATTAAAATAAAAAAAAGGCAGCTGATTAAAGATATCGAAGTGGATTCCTCATATTATAATTCTATGGATTGAAAAGGGTTGAGGTCAAGGGGTGGGAAACCTAACTTCGGCACACACAACATGGCATTTCACATGGGTGTTGACAATCTTAGTGCCCTTGGAAGAAATTGGGACACAGAGTGAGTCTGAAAGGCCAGCATGGAGGGTGGGTGGGTTTTTTTTTTTTTTTAGACTGTCCTACTCAACTAGGAAACAAAATGGCTATTGAATCATCGTATACAAGTAATGGTCACTTATTTATTTATTTATTTATATACAAGTAATGGTCATCTAATTGTTTTTTTTTTTTTTTTGAGTGACCATTACTTGTATACGATGATTCAATAGCCATTTTGTTTCCTAGTTGAGTAGGACAGTCTAAAATTTCTCATCAGGTCCCAATCCACACAAGTGTACTTTTAGCAAGAACCCAATAATATCCCTTTATGTTTCTTTACTAGGGATGCCAATGGATCGGGCTAGGCGGGGATCGCCATCCCCATCCTTTTCCCATCTCCTTAAAAAAAAAAAAAAACTTATCTTTGTCCTGCGCTTAGTTCGGAACGAAATTTTGCTCTCTATCCTCGTTCCAAAAGGGGTTGGGCGAGGTGAGACAGGGCTTGCCAAATTACTTTTTTAAAAGGCAAAGAGCAGGGCCGGGGGTTGCCATCCTCATTCCCGCCCCACCCTTAAAAGAAAAAAACCATCTCCTCCTCAAACGGGGTGGAGCGAGGCGGGTTGAATCACTATCTCTATTCTTAAGTTAAACCGTACACGGATTAATAGCATGATTCGTACATATACTCTTTAGATTTTTTTTTATGTGGTTTTTTATTCTCTTTATTATTTATTGAGTTTTTTTTTTTTTTTACTCTCAATTATTTTAATATATATATATATATATATATATATATATATATATATATATATATATATATATTTAATTTATCGAGCCTTTTTGCTCCTTTAATTTTTTTAATGTAACCTTTTTCATAGGTTCCGTCTAATTTTTTTTAGGTAAAAATAATGAATGGATTGACATATCCAATAAAAACGAAAACTGACATATGCGATAACATAATTTTATCACACGTCACTTTTATATGATATATCAATTATTGTTTGGAAATTAACTGAAATCTTATTTAGAGAACCACGTTAAAAAATATGTAAATTAAAGAAATTTAATTAATATAACCAAAAAATAAAAAAAAGACCATATTATAAAAATATCAAGAATACATAAACGAATTATGCTATTAATTCCGCCATAATTCAGCCTTGATCTCTGTGAGTAGCTATTCTGTAATTTTCTGGTTTAGTTTTATACATTCAATGAACAGAGTAGGAAAAAGGATCACTCTCAATAGCATCTTGATTCCCTAGCACAGTTGAACTTTTATATCACGTGGAAAAAAAGTCATAATATAATTGATTTATATAAGCTTTACATTGTTGAATTTCTCAAGGACAAATTCTTATTTACCAAAAGGCAGCTCGCAGAGTAAGTAAAAAAAAAAAAAAGGAAAAATGGAAACCACAACTATCAAACAAAACAAAATTCAATAATAGAGATAATTATTAAATTAAAAATTAAATTCAAAACACTGGTTGAATTAAATAATTTAGTGGGGTAAAGCTGCTAGACACAAAGGCGATCCGCATTAAAAATAAAGTAGCTAATTAGATCCTTAATCATGGTCCGCAAGAAAGTAGGTTGCTAACTTTACAATTCGAACAGGGAAGCCATGGTTAGAGTTAGAATTTAGAAATCTTCTTTAATGTTTTAGTGCATACCATTCGACATTCCCTCTGTATAATTGGGGGAAAAAAAGTTAGAAAGAAATTATTAAATCATGGCTAGCTAGTGGTTAAAAAAAAAAAAAAGAAGGAAAGATGATTGTCTACACAATGGCAAAGAAAAGGAGCCATTTGATTGAAACAATATATGATTTTTTTTTTTTTTTAATCAAACAATCTCCCCACCATTCTCGACCAAATTATGTTGACAAGAAAAGGATGTGTCATATTTGTGGTAAAGAAATCAACTCAACTTTTCAAATGTGGCTAAGCAATATTTATTAATTGCTAAAGGGACAACATATATATGCACGTACGTGAAAAATTTGTCGGTCGTTCTTGATTGAGTTAATTTAAGAAGAAGAAGAAAAAAAAAACACTTGAATAGGGTTCTTTGATTTTCAATTTCTTTCTAGAAGTATTGGTTTAGTATGCCACTATACCTCTATCTTTCTCTCTTGTTTTGAAATCGATCGTTTTATTTGACTTATTGGAGTATTGCATGCACATTCTTGGCTTTCCACCTTTTGTTATTTTTTCACTTTTGGCGCTTAGATTTTAACCTTTACCTTTCACCATGCTAGATATGAGTGAAAGGCCTCGTCCTCTTTCGAAAAAGTATGCAACTTTTCAAGTTGCGAATTACCTCCGACAAGGTATATGATGACGAAAAGGGATGCGTGACCTTTGAATTTGGCTTTTTGTGGTGTCAAAGAGGAAGTGGAAGTTTTAGTTCTTACAAGTTAATACTTTGAGAGTTTCTAAGGTACCACATATGTTGTTATTGTTAACAGTAACAGGTTAGTATCTTCATAAAAATTCCATGAAAGCATCGCAAGGCCAGTTTTAACATGGAATGCAAGAATCATCTCCTTGGGCTCTCTGACATAGAAGCATGTTTGTGGTGAAAAGCTAAAACTAACTACTCCCATCTCCTTCTGCAGTGGTATTGGACCATTTGCGTTTTAACTTCATATGGGCCATTTTTGGGCCTCATGGTTTATCCCAAGTTGGCATTTTATTTATCTATTTCTTTCTTAATGGGAACACTTGTCTCGTGGGCTGATTCTGAATCATCCTGCAACATATATAGATCATTTGCCTGAAAATAAATGTCCAATAACCACACATAACAAGCTATCCTCCTCTTAGAAAACTAAATTTGCGAAAGCCAATTCATGTGATTTGAGAAATGGATAGCTATATCTTTACTTGACTATTCCATTGTGTATATCCTCAATCTTGGTACTTTTCTCAAAGAAATGAAACACTAGTATGGTCAGAAAGATAAGTTATGTCGGCAACAACTCGTCCTAGGCTCTTTCCATCCCAATGGACTTACTCTACCTACTGAGCACTATTTTTTCGACCTGTATTTTTTTGATGCTACATGTGACCAAGCCAAAGTGAAGAATCGAGCCCACAATTTTGAGCCGAGGTTCAATTAGAATTTGTTATATCGGCTCTTCCATTCGTCATAAACTGCCAACATTTTGGTTGAATATTGATCCTAATTGTCTCTGTGAGAAGTTAAGGGCATAGTTTTCGTTTAGGAGATCCTACCTTGAATCATAAAACAAACACCATATTTTGTTAAGTTGTAAAATTGATGTAAATGTGATCTATAATTTAATATTTCAAATCTATAATTTAATATTTTAAATTGGAGTATACGAAATATTAAATTAAATGCATAAGTTTATAAGGCATTATAAATATAGATACAATCTCTTATATTTGTAGATACAAATATAAGAGATTAAATGCATAAGTTTATAAGGCATTATAAATATAGATACAATCTCTTATATTTGTAGTCAATTAAAAAATCTATTAAGAATTTTTAATATAATCATAAAGTAAATAAATCTTATATCGTTGATTACTATTGTCTATCTATTTTATTTTTACTAATTAGTTTCCTAATATGTTTTATATGTTTATATCAGCTAAACATGAGATTTTGACTCATTAACCTGTATCTTTACTCAAATTGGTAAGAGTAGTGCAAATGGAATCACGCTCTTCTTTATATCATAGAACAAGAGGACTCTCATTTAAAGTCCTTTTCTTTTAACATCATTCTTTATGGATTTCTTTTCTTGTGGGCCCATAACTCAAATTTGAAGAAGTTCAAAAATTCAAAGTGCATAATTGGGCCAACGCCCTCGTCCTTTTCAATACGAATTGAAGAAATATATATATATATATAAAAGAAATGAGTGGGTCCTCCACAGTCTGCACCACCACTAGTTCAATTTCCAACACAGACAACATGATTGAAGACTTTTGTAGGTCCCACATTCCTCTAAACGCCGTCGCTTAGAGCATAACGTTATAGCACTATCCCCTAAAACGACACCGTCTGTTTCTAAAGAGAAAAACGCTTTCCCTCATTTTCTGACAAGAAAAATCACCAACACCAACACCAACACCAACACCAAGACCACCACCAACGTGAAGAGAGCGAGAGACATCATTTCCTCGAGAGAAAAACCAGGCGATCCGAACCGAATCAGAAATGGGCAAGGATCTGAGCGATGAGCAGGTGTCATCAATGAAAGAAGCTTTCACACTCTTCGACACAGACGGTGACGGAAAGATAGCTCCATCGGAATTAGGGATCTTAATGCGATCTCTCGGTGGAAACCCGACCCAAGCCCAATTAAAATCAATAATCGCCGAGGAGAACTTGACGGCACCATTTGATTTTCCTAGATTCCTTGATTTAATGGCAAAGCACATGAAAGCTGAGCCGTTTGATCGACAGTTACGAGATGCGTTCAAAGTGCTTGATAAGGATAACACGGGATTTGTATCTGTTGCGGATCTGCGTCATATTTTGACCAGTATTGGAGAGAAGTTGGAGTTGGCGGAGTTTGATGAGTGGATCCGAGAAGTTGATGTCGGGTCCGATGGGAGGATCCGGTACGAGGATTTTATTGCCAGAATGGTTGCTAAGTGAAGGTGAATGGTTTGGTTTCTTAAGAGTTTTATGTGTTTGTGTGTTCGTTTTGGAAGTAATTTGTGGTCAAGTTTGTTTGTTTGTTTGTTTTTTTTGTTTTTTTTTAAATTCTGTTTTTGTTTTGGGGCAGTAGGTTTGTTTTGGGTTTTGTTTGTAATGGATAATGGTGATGGTGTTTTAATGGGCTCGTTGAATTAATCTTCATTTTCTTTTTGTAGTTAATAATGTATGGATGCTATTGTTGAATCTGCGGTTTTTAGAGAAATCTGGGGTGAAACATACTGTAACGAACCATTTTTTTTTATGCATATAATGAACATTTTGTGAATCTGGGGTTGTGGTTGATTGTTGAAGAAGAAGAGTTTGTTAATCATTTAGGTAGGGATTTTGCAGGTCTATGGATTTCTTGGTTTTGAGAGTTTTGGTATATAGTAATGGATAATCATAGAGAGAAAGAAAGAGAATGAAATCTAGTTTTCTTAGTTTGCCTGGTTTACAGCTTTGTGTTCAAAGGTGCTATGGTCATAGGATTAGGTATGTAGAGCTGTTGAAGTTAATAAATTAGATTTGAATTTTCAGGAACCAGCCAAAAACTTGTTTGATCAATACTTTTAGATAGATGAAACTAGTTGTAATACGATAAAAGAATAACTATTCTATTTTGAGCTCTTGCTTCTTGACAGTTGTTGTATGTGTTGGTTGTCAATATCTCTTACTCCTTGTGTTTGATTTTTCATGATGAAAGTAGATGATTGGCAAAGTCTAGTGCGTTGCAAGTTACAGATTTTAGCTAGGTTATTCAGATTTGGTTTTGAATTTTTTCTTGGTGACTCAAGATGGAAAAAGGAAAGTAGATCAATGCTTCCATTAGAGGCACTGAGCTTTGAGATGGGCTTTAAACGAAGCATACTTATTTGGAGAATTGGGCAGAATAAGGCATTGAATCCGTGCTTCTTGCCTGGCAATTAAGTTCGACTGGGAGAAGCTTGTCCTTGCCTGGATCCGGTGTGCTTTATATTATGGCATGTTTGGGTTTCTGGTGGCCATACTTCAAGTTCTTTTTGTCAAGGTTTAATTCAGTTTAGATCCTGCATTTTCTTTTTGAGTTCTGTCATCTTGTTGAAATTGGAGCTCTTGAAGATTTTCAACCAGATGCAGATGCTCTGGTTCAACAGAAAGTGCAGGAGCAGACAGATTCTGATGACTAAGTGTAATTGTTTCTGGGCATCTGATTTATTGGAGATCTATTGAGATTCCACTTAATTTACTGGTTTTAATTTTTAACAACAGGGTTTGCTTTCTGAAATATAGTAAATTAGCAAGTATTGAAGTTCCTTTTGTTTACATGGCATCACTTTGTTGTTCTTTGCATCCAATCTCGGATTTATACAAGGCTCGTCCAATTTCGTTAATTTTAAACTCTGGTAGTTTTGGCCGTTGGATCTTCACAGGTTTCTGGTTGAGTTAATCATTTTCAGATGATCTTGACTACAAATTTTGTATCTATATTCCTTTTTGTGGCCTGAAGCTAGGGATGATAATGGGTCAGATACCAGTCTATTAATTTAATTTCATATCCTATCCACTAAAAAATATTATATCGATTACTTTATTCATTATTCATTAAGAATTACTTTTCAGTTCTTTATCCAGTCCATGCCAACTATGTTTTATCTTGTTCATATTCCTCTATCTGCTAATATTTTTTCCAAATTGATTTTTAAAAAAATTTTAATTTATAATAAAAGAAATAATAAGTTCCACAATTAATAAAAAACCTGATTGATAAATATTTGAAAATTAATAATTCATCGATCTAACTTATATAATTTAGTAAATATTTATTGTTCATGTACTTTATTTGGTCTTTGATGTATTTTTCAAATAAAAAACATTTAAAATCAGTTTTGCAAAATCAAGGAACCAGTCTAAAGTTTAAACATGCATTTTTTTCAAGCCAAGCGCCACTGGATCGAGGTTGATTAAGAGTAGGAGTGACCATTCGGTTAAACGGTTTGGTTTTATACGATTCGGTTTGATTTTTGGTTAATCGAATTAAGAAAAATGAAAATCAAAATCAAACCGAAATAAATTCGGTAAATTCGGTTTGTAATCGAATTATTTCGGTTTGGTTTCGAAATATTTCGGTTTTAACCGAAATATTTTGCTGTAAAAAAAATAATAATAATTACAGAGAGATGTTTTGTATTAGCACTTAGTTCACTAGCCAATAAAGTAACATCTTGTTATCAATTAATCCTTTTTATAGACAATCACAAAGCCCTTGAAGATTTTAACTAGGCTTTAATGAAAATCAATCCAAGTGTAATTGATTTTGTCATTCAAACACACTCGTATCTCAATTAATTACACTCGTCATTTTTTTTCTTACCCCAATGATCCTCAAATTTTACTTTCCATATGTGTGTTCCAATTTCAGCAAGAATGAAAATTGAAAAGTTAGGGATTTAGAAATTAGGAAATTTTTTACTATTTATTTCGGTTTTCGGTTGAAACCGAAATTTTTTTTATAAAAACCGAACCGAACCGAAATAATTTTGGTTTTTTTAGTTCGGTTTTATATTGTATAATTTTACATTTAAAACCGAACCAAATTTCATAATTCGGTTCAGCTTTTATTCGATTTTCGATTAATCGAACCGTTTGCTCATCTCTAATTAAAGGCCTTTTCATATCATTTAGAGTTTTTACTTATGTTTTTGTTTTAATTTTTTTTTCAAAAAAAAACTTGTTTTTATTTGGAATTTTTTTCGAAAGAAAAAAAAAACCAATGACCGCTATAATATTTTTTTTTAAAAAAATCATTTTATTTGGTTTTGAAAAGTTTGACGAATGGTTGTTGGCTTTCTACATTTTTTTGTTTAAACAAAAACAAAACAAAAAAACCAATAACTCTTTACTAATAATTATTTTAACGTTTTTTTATCACAAAATAACCTAGCCTCGAGGTGAAGCGGTTCTCCCTAATTTAAATTATTATTATTATTATTAATAAAACTAAATTAAAACCATTATTAACTATTCATTCACTATTTGAAACACTATTCATACATTCATTAATTACTATTCACATACTCATAGATTGATATTCCTTTAACTATTCATGGTATTTTTGCAACACTTTGGTCCTCAAATTTTCTATTTTTTTTTTCAATTTCAAAATTTAATTGTATTGTGATTTGATTCCATTTTGTTTTAGTGTTTTCTAATAATTATTTTTATTATTTAAGATTTACTACTTTAATTTGTCATTTTTTAAAAAAATTATCTTTTTTTTTCAATTTCAAACTTTAATTATATTGTGATTTGGTCTTATTTTGTTTTAGTGTTTTTTGTTAATTATTTTTATTATTCAAAATTTACTACTTTAATTTATCATTTTTAAAAAATTTTCATCCAATTAATTTAAAATTATATGCTCTTGAATGTTTCTATACATTTTTTTTTCTTTTTCAAACTTTAATTGTATTATGATTTGGTCTTTTTTTTTTAGCGTTTTTTGTTAATTATTTTTATTATTTAAAATTTACTACCTTAATTTGTCATGTTTCAAAAAATTCTCATCCAATTAATTTAAAATTATATTTACTGATAATTTTGATTTATTTTTCTATATGAATGGATTTTGGAATAAATTTTTAGAACATAATTATTTTTTTCTTTTTGCAAAATAGATTTAGATAATTTGTAAATTATAGTGGCATGATTAATACACACACACACACACACACACACATATATATATATATATATATATAATTTTTCTGAAATACATTTTTATATTACAAGTATATTTTAAATAAATGTTTTCTCAGCTTTTTAGAAAAAAAACTCAAATTAGTTAATTAATAGTTGAAAGTCAAATGTGAAAAATATAAAAAGGATTGTTGCTATGCGCGTGAGGCATGTATTTAAGGACAAGCGATGCATAACATAGAAATAAAAAATTATTTAAAAAGAAGGAAAAAGAAAAAGAAAAAGAATTCACATGTTTTATTAATTTGTTTCTTCTTTATATAATCAAATTTGTAGAAAAGTTTTATTTTAGTCTATTAACTTCATATTTAGTCAATAAATTCCTTGCAAGATATGTTTTTAGACTGAAAACTCTGAAATCATTTAGTATAAAATATTGAATCATTGATTTTTTTAGAAATTAACTCTGCAACTACTACACTAGATATTTACTATTTATTTTTGAATATTTTAAAATTAACTTATTTTAAATTAAATAATTAAAATTATGTTTTGGCTTAACCACTTAATGATTCAAATTAATATAGTTTTTTATTTTAATATCATTCATTCTTTTGTAAATAGATATATAAAAATTAAATTTATATTGTTTCAAAAATTGATATTCTCATCAACATTAAATAATAATAAAAATAATTATTTATTTAAATTCTATGTAAGCTTTTAATAATTGTTATTTTTGTTTCTCGACAAAATGTTATGAAATACTAATTTTTTTAAAAAAAATTATTTAATTTTCTTTTTAGTCAATAATCAATGGATTAACAAGAATAAATCATTTTTCTAAAGGAAAAATGATGAAAAAGATAAATAAGAAATAGTTAAATACAAAATTGTTTATTAAAAAAATATAAATGATTTTTTTCACCTCTGATTTCATATATTTTTATATATTCACATTATAAAACAGTACAATTAAACTGAAATGATACTAAAGTAAAACCATTGGTTTTACAATTTATTCACTATTTTAAACACTCGTTCACACACTCATAAATCACTATTTACATGCTTACAAATCACTATTTCTTTCACTATTCATGGCATTTTTGTAACACTTTTACCCTCAAATTTTCTATATATTTTTTTCAATTTCAGACTTTAATGGTATTGTGATTTGGTTTCATTTTGTTTTAGTGTTTTTTGTTAATTATTTTTATTATTCAAGATTTACTAATTTAATTTATCAATTTTTTTAAATTCTCCTTCTTTTTCAATTTCAAATTTTAATTATATTATGATTTGCTCCCAATTTGTTTTATTTTTTTGTTAATTATTTTTATTATTTAAAATTTACTTCTTTAATTTGTCATTTTTTTCAAAATTATCATCCAATTAATTTAAAATTATATGCTTCTCAATTTTTCTATACATTTTTTTTCAATTTTAAATTTTAATTGTATTATGATTTGATCTCATTTTATTTTAGTTTTTTTTAATTATTTTTATTATTTAACATTTACTACTTTAATTTATCATTTTTTTTTAAATTCTCATCCAATCAATTTAAAATTATATTTACTCACAGTTTTGATTTATCTTTCTATATGTATAGATTTTAGAATAAATTTTCAGAACATGATTATTTTTTCTTTTGAAAACTAGATTTAGATAATTTTTAAATTATAGAGGCAAGATTAATATATATAATTTGTTTGAAATACATTTTTAATCCTCAATTTTCTTATACTTTGTTTTTCAATTTCAAAGTTTAATTGTATTATGATTTGATCCCATTTTGTTTCAGTATTTTTTGTTAATTATTTTTATTATTTAAATTTTACAACTTTAATTTGTCATTGTTTTTTCAATTCTCATCCAATTAATTTAAAAATTTATGATCCTCAATGTTTTTATATTTTTTTTTCAATTTCAAGGTTTAATTGTATTTTGATTTGGTCCCATTTTGTTTTAGTGTTTTTTGCTAATTATTTTTATCATTTAAAATTCTTTTGAAAAATAGATTTAGATAATTTAGATAATTTTTAAATTATAGTTGCATAGTTAATATATATACTTTGTCTCGAAGCACATTTTTAGATTAAAAGTGTATTTCACATATATTTTTAGTTTTTTTAGAAAGAAAAAAACTCAAATTAGCTAATTAACGATTGAAAGTGAATTATGAAAAATAAAAATAAGATGGTTGCTCCGCACGTGAGGCCTATATTTAAGGACTAGCCATGCATGACATAGAAATAAAAAATCATGTAAGAGGGAGGAAAAAAAAAGAAAAAAAATTCACATATTTTATTAATTTGTTTCCTCTTTTTATAATCAAAATTAATCAAAATCAAATTTATAATGATTTTTATTTTAGTCTATTAACTTCAAATTTAGTCAATAGATTCCTTGCGATTTAACTTTTTTTTTTATAATATTTTTTGTTTTAGACTAAAAACTCTAAACCCATTTAGTATAAAATATTGAA